AACTTCATTTGCTCCACATTCCCGTCAGCAAATAGACGATAGTCCTCAAACGATTTATATGCTTTGAGTTTCTTTCTGTCGTAGTCAGTTCTATTTACTATCAGGTAGTTGAAAATGTCGTATAATCCGAAATCTGGTATACTTTCAAAGTTCTCGGTGTAGCCGGTGATTTTCATTGGGTCGTCGAACGAGCACCCCGCACGCTCCAACTTCTCCCGCAGCGACCGTGCGGAGTCGAAGCTCGCAAGGTCGGGGTCTTGGGGCAAAGCGATATCGGCCACAGCAGTCGCAAGTTGAACTAGTTTCTGTTTGTTGTACCCTGATGTCGTAACTCCTCTCTTTCTTAAATAATCGGTGAGCTCCTTCACTGTCCACTGCGAAAACGGCTTGCTGGAACTACAACTCGATGTCGAAGGCGATGCCATTGTAGAAATTAGGGTGAAAAAACGTCGCGGTCGCTAGCAATGGCTTTGTATGTGTATAGCGTAGCGGGCATGGAAAAACAATGTGGCGACCGTGCCGCACCACGCAAAGCTTGCCCTACGTAGTAACAATCGCTAGGGTGCGAGGGATTATGACGTCACTCGCATATCATTAGTAAACAGGCCTATTATTGCATAATACTTCTTTAATCGAAGGATTGGACGAAATAATTAAAGCTATGAAATAGAGAAATAGACTTCATCATGTCTATTTGGGGTCATGATTTTAGTTTGTTCATTTAGGCAAAGATCTAATATAATTTAAATTGGATGAATAGGTTGGCACTTGGCATCAGTGGACTAATTCTACCCACTTAGTCGTGGTTTAACCCTGCATGTTTTATGAACACCGGGCAGAGGCTAGCAACGCATCTTTATCATGTCGATAGCTATCACTTAAAGTTGGTAAGATTTATTTCCCGGCTCCACTCAATCATTGGATTTCTCCTGGCAGCGTTTCATAACCGATCCTACCTTTACATAAGTCTTTACCCCATATCTCGTGTCGGCTCATTACCCCTGGCTGAGCCAATCGGAGGTGTGAGTTACCTGGCTGGTAATGGTAGACTGTACCGCTGATGCGCTCCTTGGCATCCCCTCCTCCCCTTACGCTCCCGGTGACCTCCATCTTCATCATCCTCATCGGGCGAGGCAAAGCTATGTACCATAGCGACTCCTCAAGGATTAATTTCTGGGTTTCGTCATCAAAAGTAATCCAATTTTCTTTCTTCAGCGATATCGGTCACCCCCGCATCCATCTTCATCAAATATCGGCCATCATTTTAGAGCTGTTACACTTCTCTTTAATTTGTCTTCATCTGTTCGAATCCATATGTCAGACATGTAATCTAAGACTCTGACATGTCTTTTCTCCTTTGCTGCTAGCTTCTTACAACTCGTTTTTATTAGATCGTCATAGGTTCTTTTGGTTTTCCCCTTTTTTAAAAACCTAGTTTGTTAATCCGTATATTTCTCAGAATTTCAACGATGCATCATGTACTCCTTTTTTCTTGTGTTATTTATCATTTATTCTTATGTCGCTGTGTTTAACTATACATTTCAACTTCTAGAATATTTCGTTCTTCTACATAATGTTATAAATGTTACATAACGACAGCCTTTCCCAGCTCTACATTGTTCTATTGCTAATATTACCTGTTCTACATGCAGTTCTACCATTCCTTTTCATAACACTACTTCTACTATTACCACCACCTCTTTTAATATCACTGTTACAACTGCTGCTGCTGCAGCTACTACTATCATCATCATATTCATTCATTGAAGTAAGAATTTTCACTCTTACAAGGGTTTGCTGATTTTCGTGCCAAAATGACACTCCCTCCACTTCTTATTGTCTCGAGCATCTTCCTCATTTAGACAACCTTACTTTCTTTCTTCACCGTATAATCCCATGAAATATTCAGTCTTCCTGTCCCTCTACTACTAATACTATTACTACTACTACTACTACTAATACTACTACTACTACTACTACTACTACTACTACTACTATTATTACTACTACTACTGCTTTTACTACTACTACTACTACTACTACTACTACTACTACTACTACTACTACTACTACTACTACTGCTGCTACTATAATAATACTTCTGCTACTGTTGCTATTACTACTATTATTACTACTAATAATACTACTTCTGCTGCTGCTGATGCTGCTGCTAACTTGTTATACACTCAATTCATTTTGATTGCTTCGGTTACAAATAAACAGATAATACTGCTCGCACTAATACTTCTTTAATTGCCATTCTATTTTTACATTTAACATTAGTTGGCTTCGGCTATCCTATCTTCTGTTGAATCAAACAATACAGCCAACCAAGAGTATACACTAATGGATACAGCTAGTAGTACCTGAAATTTCTCACAACGTAATTTTTTCCTCACTTCCCAAGAAACTAAATTTTGGGCACCATCAGCGTTGTTGGTAGGGATTGATTTTGATGCCATTTGATCCAAGCCTGCCTGCAGGATAACATGGCATGGAACATGAATGATGTATTCTCGCCGCCAGGAGTTTCGGTGTCGACAGCTGGAGCAACAGCGTCGCCACCCCGCAATACAGTTCTCCTCCCGTCGAGAAAAAACTCCATCCTCCTTGAGTTTCCCCCGTCTCCATCTTCCACGTGTGATTGAAGTGAATGTATCTATGCTAATTAAGCGAACACCGTCATCACTATTAGCCTGATTTCGCGCAGATGCTGTTAAAGGCTAGAAGTGCAACTGACCGAAGGAGAGCCGTCGTCTTAATAGATCTTACAGCTGGAACGGTGGCGCCTCTTCCTCCAAAACAAGCACCATTTTTTGTTGTCCCCGTCTTTCAAGAAATGCACGTTTCCTCTTCCACAATCTAGCATATTACCATGAAATTATGTTATAGACATTACAACCCACGTTTGAATCATTAAAGACTGATGTTTTGACTTATCATGTCTGCCAGTATTGGAAAGCCTTCCACTGGAGGTGATTTTTTTCCATAAATTTATTAACAAGACAAACGTATTCATGTTTGAACAGCAATGGATGATAACTACATACATGACCTTGTGGTGTCCCTGTGATGACCCAAGCCATGCAGATTTTATTTAAGTTGTCTCCTGAGAAAACGGGAAATATTACCTCCATTATGAATTAATTTCCAGTTACAGCTTTTAAAGGTAATACAAAGTTTTGGAAAATTTTGAAAATTGGGTGGATAGTGATTCTTTACAATTTTTATATATTTGGATGCCCCTGTGGATGTATTATAAGCACTAGAAAATTTAGCCCCTAAAACACTTCTGCTTTCGAGAAAAATTGAATATAAAAATTTACCGGTGCTCCCGGTAAATTTTGATAAATTTCAAATAGCGCATACGGCCGTACTATGGTAGTTGCGACCATGAAAATCTCAGAATATGCAGTTGTGATATATAATTTCCAAATGAGAATAGCCAATTGGTCGATTTAAGTCAAGAAACATTGTTTCTTAGCTAAATGAATATATTGACCTTGAGAGGGAGCTATACAACATAAAGAGTTTATTATTTACAATTTCATAACTTTAGACTCGATTTCAACCGGAACAACGGTCACTGAATATTGTAGGATCGCATATGCTTCAAATATTTTCATTTAAACCAAATTCATGACCCCATACCAAAACTTTGTATTACCTTTAATCATATCAAATGTATAAACGGTATACTAAATATATGTGCTTACAATTAGGTATCCACTGCGAGTAGATGGAGAAAACCATACCATATTCCTAGATAGCGTGGCACTTTCTATAACTCGCTATTTTGATGTGCAGTGGTCAAGTGGATAAGTCACCGAATTATGAATTACAAGGTACGGGGTTCGTATCCATAGCACAGCGCTAACATTTTCGGCATACAGTAGTAAAGCTACAACTGACGCTCTCCACCCAGGTTAATTGAATAGGTATCACATGGATCTAACGTCCTCTGGGTGGAGACATCACTTCATATATGCCACTCTCGAAACTGATAAGGTAAATATGTTTCCTACAGAAAGGAGTTCCGTAAATGCAATTGCGCCCTTTTTACACTAGCTCGGCTAAAGTTGGGGGTAACAAACCTTTTCAACGCTTTGTATCTTCTGGGGAAAGCACCTAATGAATACAACTATCATAATGTCCACTTGGCTAAAATTGGGGGCTACACACCTTTTCAATGGCTCTTCTGGGAAAAGCACCTTATGAATTCAACTATCATAATTCACACTTTACTGGCATTTTCGCTGAAAATCCCAAGAAAACGTATTTATTCGATGATACCAAAATCATGTAGATGTACAACTCCCAAGATACTTGAAAGAACAAACCATGCATTCAGCCACGTCACCACAGTGCCTTCCGATCGCACTTACATCGGTCTCTGAAGTCCTCGGCACAAAAGGTCATAATTACCACACGAATCTATTACACCTGATGCCATGTTTACGCGATACTTTATTAACAACTATCTTACGGTTAAAGATAATATTGAGATTTTTAAAAGGTTTCTTTTTCATTATTTGTTGTCAATTTGGCAAAATACCATAGTACATGTAGAGATGTCCCCCGAAAAATGACTGCACTTAAAAACCGACATATTCCAAATATGATGAGAAATGGCTGAATCGTTTGGATCAAACATTTATGCCATATGTGTGTATGTAGCCCCATTAACCCGTTCTATTTGTAGTGCAAGTGACTTTTAGGAAGACTGAGTCCATTCCATTTCATTTGAACAGCAATAAAAACGCACAGTACACAATGAGTTCCTATGTATTACATAATCATGACAATCAACTGTAAGCTTTCCAATTGTTTCAAGATAGTTTAATTTAATGTGACATCGCCACTATGAAATTGAGCAAATAGAATGAGAAATCTCGTACGTCTGATTTTCACTCTTACCAGAACCCAATTTTCCCTTTAAGCTTAGATTCAATCAAAACAGCGACAACAAAACGAACATCAAGAGCGGTGGATTTGCCTACCTTGTTTTCCTGATGTGTTCTTTGAAAGGTGAGGAAGAGAGTTTTACGCCAATCAGGATTGCACCTGTACGAGAAATAAGAACAGTGAATGGGAGAGTGAATGCATTATGTCATATTCTCCTTAGAAGGACTGCTGGAGTGACCAGCTGTCAACAATTATCTGTTGATAACTGAAGTAGCTGAAGTATTCGTAATTGCACAATATGTTAATTTGTAGGAAACATATTCAGAACGCCATCATCATTGTGGTTATACAGAGGAGGCAAGAATCACTCAATTATGTAACTTACCTGACACATCTTTCTTAAAACAAAGAAAATAATATCAGGATTTGGATATCAACGAAAAAGCATAGCTTTGGAAATTACTCCCTTGCTACACACTAAGAAAAAATGGTGCAACTATGCACCTTTAGGGGTTCAAACCGATGCAACAATAGCAGCACCTTTAGGGGTTAAATCCTGCACCCTTTTTAAAGGTGCAATCCTGCACCCTTCAAAAGGGTGCCAGATTGAACCTTTTGGGGGAAATGTTAGTACCCTTTATGGTTCAATCCTGCACCTTTAGGGGTGCAAACCGATGCAACAATAGCAGCACCTTTAGGGGTTAAATCCTGCACCCTTTAGGAGGGTGCCAGAATGCACCTTTTAAGAGACATGTTAGTACCCTTTATGGTTCAATCCTGCTCCTTTAGGGGTGCAAACCGATGCAATAGCAGCACCTTATTAAAGGGGTTCAATCCTGCACCCTTTAAAAGGTGCAATCCTGCACCCATCATCGAGGAATACTCTTGATATTTGCTCGTACAGATATACATATTAAACATGCATGATGTTTCTTGGTTAGTAATCATATAATCAATATATATATTGCTAAAACGTGAATGTAATTGTAACATGATCAGACAAAATAATCTATTGGTTAATGATTGCCGAAGGAAAATACAAATCACAAAATTGATGTGCATTGTCATAATTTGCTTAACAAATCATATGATAAATGTATTTTTATGTGAACACGTGGAAAGTAATCATGAATATGCATGCAATATGCAAACTTTTATTTTGCACCTTTTTGGGTTGTTAGGGTTCATTTTGTGGGAAGGGTGCAAAATCTTATATTGCACCCTTTTTTGAACCCCTTTTCCTTCAATAGGGTTCATTCTTATGTAAAGGGTGCAAACTCTTATTTTGCACCCTTTTTTGCACCCTTTTTTCTTAGAGTGTAAGTGACTTCATTACAAATTGTCCTGTAAAATACTGACGAGAAAGTACAGGGTCCTCAAAATGCTTAAAAAACAAACAAATATAACAAATACAGTATGGTAGAGCGAAGTATACGAATAGATAGCACAGGAAGTGTTGTGACATCATGATAGATTAAGGTAAATGTAATATTTGCTTTCTTTCTATTGCTTAATTTCACAAGGTCAAATATGCAGCTGTTTATGACTAGAATAATTTTCCTTTCTCAATCCCATGATGACGCTAATCATGATTTTTTTTTTTTACAAAAACAAAACACCACCTCAGGATATTACTTACGACAATTAGCTATTTTTAAGGGAATTATCAAGGGTAAACAAGTTTCTTGTTGGCAAAAATAGAACAGTTCAACGAAATCAGAATTTGCTCTTAAATAGATACATGTACGTCTACTTCTGATAATGAATTGTCGGTGTAATATGAGAAGTATATCAGACTCATCAATTCTACTAACATTTCGCAGTTGACAAATGAACATTTTTACGTCTTTCCTCAGATATGATTGAGAAATTTTAAAGAAATTAAGTATTGTATTACACAACGACCACCAAGTAGTTTTACATAATCAAATATAATTTTGAAAGTGTATTTTTAGAAGCGAAAACGTCAGATGGGAAATCAGTAGTGTCATTTTTTCTGTTATCGTACCCTTTTAGATAGATGTCCTTGAGAAAATATATTTGTGATATCAAAACTAAAATATAAATGGCAATTAAAGGTAATGACCTATTCACGTTCAAAGTGGTAAGGAGTTTGCCAAGATGTAAAGACGAGGAGACAATAATTGTCTAAATGTTAAATGTTCTCAGCAGGCGCCAATTTTTCGAGCCTGTTTCGAGTGCGGCACTGAAAAATGCATGCATGGCCTACGTACAAGAAAAGTAGTAATAGTGTGCGCGTGGGGGAACGAATTGCAGTGATGCGACGGTAGCGCCGATGTGAAAATAGGAAAACAATAATTGGCGAGTGCTCTCTCTCTCTCTCTTTCCCTCTCTCTCTTGTGTATTTTCTGGCAAGGCGTGGGCTGAGGGAGACAGATTTCACGCCAGAGGACTTGCATGCAAGGAATATATCGACGGGAATTCCCAACTCTTCCATATTCATAACCCGAATTTTTGTCTTCTTCCTTGGAGCTTGCAAGAAAAATGTTTTGGTGACTATCCATTTCATTACGATTTTCAGCGGGTATTCAACCATGGATGGGAGAAGCGATGAAAAAAAGGATAGAGAGATAGAAAATGAGAGGGGACAAAGATGGAGAGAAAAAAGGAATGCGAACTGCAAAAGATGGAGACAGAGCCAATGATAGAGGGGGGAAAAAATCAATAGTGAGAGAGAGAAAGAAAAAAGAGTAGGAGAAAGAACGAAACTAAGAGAAAGAAGGAAAAAAAAAAAAGGAGACTGACAGAAGAGAGAAAATGAGAGAAATAGAGAGAAAGAAATTGAGTCAAAATCAATATGAATCTCTATAAATGCTAAATTGTCTCGCAATTTTATAAAAAGAAATTATGAACAATCTGTGAAAGATATCATAATCAGTACGAACGGCGGAATAACTCGTTAGATATTAACATTATTGTTTAAATATGCTGTCAAATATAAATTACTAATATATATTTTTTTATAATATGTGCTTATCACATTACACAAATCTGTTTGAGAAATGTATTAAACATGACTCATCGAGGCATAATGGCAGATTGATGATGTCTTCTTTGATTGAATATGAATTATCTCCGCTCTAATAGGTTTTTTTCTTCAAGGCCTACAGATGACATGTGCGTATGTGATATGAAAAATGCGTGTACAGATTTCTAAAATTAATCACGTAAACGTAAACGTGCGTTCAAGATCAAATTGCCTTATTTTCCCGAAATGTACATCAGCGTATACAATGCAAGTGAATGGCGTATTAACTACAATTTGTAATACTTAAAAAGATCTTTTTTTTTCTTCAGAATGATGAAACTACAAAAAAGAGGTCATTTGAATTGCCTCGTTTTATGCAGTATGAAAATAACTGTAACTAGTTGCCTAAATACTAGTTTTGAATAATAACAATGTATTTAGAATAATCAATCTCCCACAAACATTTGATCTATTTACGGTGTGAAATCACGAATTTACTACCATGATGGTTCACAAAAATAATTTGTAATACTGTTTGTCATTTTCAGAATAAAGATTCTAATGAATCTATTTCAATGAGAGAGAAATTCTACATGTACATCATCGCCCTTCATTTTCTGCAAAGCTTCATTCATTTTTTCTTCTATGGAAACAAATACATTGCCAATTTACCCATCACTAAAACACGTCTAAATTAGGATCCCTAATCGCTCCGTAAATATTCCACACGAAAAATAAGAATGGACAAATTTGGAGTAATTCGTCATTGCGCTAAGTGTATTTGCCCAGCTGAGTCTGAATATCAAGTTCTAATGACTATTGATTTTCCAATTTTGTCTTGTGATTAATTTGGTTGTATCAAGCTCGAGAAAAATGAACTGTTTGTACAAAGGTCAGCACGCACGACGGAGTTAAAGTCGTTTTTTTTTATAAAAATAACCAGGTAAAATTAGTAATGAAGGTAATATATATTTGATTCAATACGTATGGTACATCAAGATGGTCAAAACTAATTTGATAAATGCACGACAGAGTTAAAGTTGTTTTTATAAAAAATAACCAGGTAAAATTAGTAATGAAGGTAATTTATATTTGATTCAATACGTATGGTACATCAAGATGGTCAAAACGGTTAACCCGACACATGCTCCGCCGACGATTGCTCCGCCGACATTTACTCCGCAAAACGCGACAATTGCTCCGCGACATTTGCTCCGCGACATTTGCTCCGACGTCAAATGCTCCGCCGACAGTTGCTCCGCCGACAGTTGCTCCGCCGACAGTTGCTCCGTCGACAATTGCTCCGCCGACAGATGCTCCGCCGACAATTGCTCCGCCGACAATTGCTCCGCCGACAATTGCTCCACCGTCAATTGCTCCGCAAAACGCGACAATTGCTCCGCAAAACGCGACAATTGCTCCGCCGACATTTGCTCCGCCGACATTTGCTCCGCCTGAAGCGACACTTGCTCCGCCGACATTTGCTCCGCCGACAATTGCTCCGCCGACAATTGCTCCGCCTGAAGCGACAATTGCTCCGCCGACATTTGCTCCGCCGACAATTGCTCCGCCGACAATTGCTCCGCCTGAAGCGACAATTGCTCCGCCGACATTTGCTCCGCCGACATTTGCTCCACCGACATTTGCTCCGCCGACAATTGCTCCGCCGACAATTGCTCCGCCTGAAGCGACAATTGCTCCGCCGACATTTGCTCCGACGACATTTGCTCCGCCCAAAAAGTGTCCCATAAACTACAAATGCTACTAGTACTACGACAAATGCTTCGCCGACAATATTTTCTTTACACTTATTTTTTTCGTTTCTTTTTTTCTTCTTCATTTTCTGAATGCATTTCTTGAAATAATGTAGATGAAATGAAATGAATGAATGTTGATGAAGTGGGAGGAAAAAGGAGTTACCTAAAAGTCATTTCGAATATACTGAAATAACTTTCCATCTATCACTGTACATCCCATATAATGTATACTAAACACTCATTACATGTCGTGGGAAGTTTTTAAAAAAAAGTAGAGCAGCAAGCCACATTCCCCAATACGCGCATACCTCCTAGTTAATTTCAAGTAGCTCATCAATATGTAATACCTGAAATTACCTCGATCAATGCATCTTACTAGGTAAAGCATTATACAATGTAATAGGTCATCATGGA